GAGAGTAAGACATGGTCTGGGTCCAAGATTGGAGGGGGATTCGGACGAGGATGGCCCGGCTGTCAGTTCCTCTGCTTCGCAGATTCCAGCGAAGATGGAGCGGAAGACCTCCGTGCGGCGGCAGGAGTGGGAGAGGGAAAAGGATGTCGACCAGGAACACGGCCATGTCACGGCTGACAGAGTTAAAGGAGGTCGAATGGCTCCTGGCGCACACGATGCTGCGCCTAGAGATAACCGCCCTGTGGACAATCAGAAGGCATCGTTTCAAACCCAGTCATTTTCAGATAACTTCGAAAAGCGGCCTCATGAGAGCGGACTTTTACGTGATTTACCCTACAACTTGCAAGGATTGTCGTCTTCCAATCTGGAGTTCTCGTCACCCTCTGTTCTAAAACTACCACCGACTCTTCCCATACCCGTCTTGTCTCTCCTGAACACCTTGGCTGAGCCGTGTCTGCTATATAAAGGTCTGTCGAAATATGTGGAGGATTCTGGAGGCGGCTTGCTCACCCAGAGCTTGCGGGCTGCTCTTTCAAACGAGCTCCGTTCCTACCTGGGTCTTGTAGCCACCTTGGAAGGGGAGATTCGAAGGGCGCTGGCCGCTAGCGGAGATCCCTATCAGTCCAAGGAATCGTCCCAAGGGTTGGTAACGTTGAAGCGTTGTGTAGTATGGACAAGAGACGCGACAATGGCGTTACGGTTGATGAGTTTAATAGTTGAGGAGGCTCGGAGTAAGTGTGATTTCCCCTCGACTGTGTCTTTTTGTCTTCCATCGAGCTAACGGCACTCCAGACAAAAAAGGTGGTCAATTGATATCCTTGATTCATGGGTTCTCGACGTCTCACGGAGACCCTTTTGTTAGTACCTTTGCGGAGAAGCTGCTCTCACACGTTACATGCCCGTTTTACGATATGCTGCGACTGTGGATCTATGATGGTGAGCTTTCAGATCCGTACCAGGAGTTTTTTGTCGTGGAACCGGAATTCAGACCGAACACGGACCCACGACGCCTTGCGACCAGTGTCTGGGAAGACAAATATAAACTGGATGACGAGATGGTGCCGTCAATCATCACGCAGGATTTTGCGAAGAAAGTCTTTCTTATCGGCAAATCGCTGAACTTCATCAGATACGGATGCGGGGACTCTGGATGGGTCGAGGCATATTCTAAAGAAGCGTCCAAAGAGTTGCACTATGGTGATACGGCTAGCCTCGAGGCATCGATCGATGAAGCCTACAAAACAACTATGGCGCGACTCATCTATCTCATGGACGAAAAGTTCAAGCTGTTCGACCACTTGCATGCGCTCAAGAAGTATCTGCTACTGGGCCAGGGCGACTTCATCGCCTTGCTCATGGAATCCTTGGCATCGAACCTTGATCGGCCGGCCAATTCACAATATAGGCATACTCTCACCGCGCAGCTGGAGCATGCCATTCGTGCTTCCAACGCGCAATACGACCCGCCCGACGTTCTCCGCCGTTTGGATGCCCGTATGTTGGAACTCAGTCACGGTGAGATAGGATGGGACTGCTTTACTCTCGAATACAAAATAGATGCGCCTGTTGACGTTGTTATCACGCCCTGGGGCTCGACTCAATATCTGAAGGTGTTCAATTTCCTGTGGCGAGTTAAGCGTGTCGAATTTGCCCTGGGCAGCACTTGGCGGCGATGTATGACTGGCGCTCGCGGAGTCTTAGGAAGCGTCAGCGACAAAGTCGGAGCTGACTGGAAACGGGCAAGGTGTGTCATCGCAGAAATGATTCATTTTGTTTGCCAGCTGCAGTACTACATCCTCTTTGAGGTCATCGAGGCCAGTTGGGATCAATTGCAGACGGCCATCTCCAAGCCAGGGTGTACGCTTGACGATTTGATTGAAGCACATACCAAATATCTCAACTCTATCACGCACAAGGGTCTGTTGGGCTCGACATCCTCATCCCGCACCGCATCCGGTCACAAACAAGAAGAGGGCTTCTTGACCCAGCTTCATCAAATATTGAAGGTCATGCTGGCGTACAAGGATGCCGCTGATGGACTTTATTCGTTCTCCGTCGCAGAGTTTACCCGAAGACAAGAGCTTAGTGCTAAGATAGAAACGCGCACTGCTCAGGGGCGCTGGGGCATTACTGAGCGCGATCTCCTATCTTCCCGGCATCCACAAGGTCATAAGAACTCATTGTCGTCATTCCCCCCATCGCTGGCCCAAACTCCAACTGTCGGAGTCGATGGCGATGGGTTCGATACCCCGTCATCCCTCGCCGGCCAAGAGCTTTCTGCAGACGACCACATGCTGGCGTCACTTCGCACACGTCTGCGCGAGCTCTCTGCGGAGTTCCGCTCCAGACTGAACGTGCTACTGGGCGACCTAGCCTACCAACCTGATGTCGACATGCGCTTCCTTGGAGTCGTCATGAACTTCAACGATGTCTATGAACCAGTCCGGAGAAGGAGGACGGCAACGACCAGCACCAAGGACAAGGAGCGGGCAAGGCGAAAGGCTGCAGCATCTACCGCACCTGGAGCCAACGGCGAGGCCGGGCCCCAAAAGGAAGCCAGACGGGAAAGGAAGGACACCTCGGGAGCTGAGCATAGCGGTAATGGAAGTTGAACTGGGTCATGATTTCACGTCGAGCATTTTTGCGCACATGGGTTTAGATGTTGGGAGTCGGACATTCGTCGGAGTCGGGAAATGGGCCTGCATGATAACGCGAGATGAATATACGGTTTCCCAACGATATAGAACTTTAACATTATGTTGACCTATTGAACGAATCTGTAAATATCACTCATATTGTTGGTACAGAATACTCAAAACATCTCTCTCCAAGGCCAATCGCTTATCGGTGGCCCGATACTGATAAGCGGACGCTATGTTGCAGACTCCGCAACTCACGTGGAAAATTCTCCAGAGCTTCATGAATTCACCAAGATCGGTATACCTTTCAACGAGGACTAATATCCGAATAATTTACTCTTACTGCATTTGAAATATCTCTAACAAGCTTACAATATACTCAACTCTTCAATTCCACCTGACGTCCCCGAGAATACCGCTTACGCTCTCCATGTCGAGCGAGAAATCGGAGGAGTCGTCGCATTTGTCGGCGTCGAAAAAGGCAGGCCGCAAGCTCAAGCACGCGAACGATACGCCTGCAGTAGAAAACGGTGAGACCGAGAAGGTTGATAAGAAGGACAAGAAAACCAAGGACAAGAAGAAAAAGGGCAAGTCCAGCGATGGACGGGGCACTGAGGACGCCGCAGTGACGACCGACATGGGTGAGAAGAAGCAGAAGCAGAAAGAGAAGAAGAGCAAGAAGAGACGGCTTGATGACGAGAATGACGGGGAGGAGAAAGCGGTTGCCGAGCCGGAGTCTGAGTCTCAGCAGCGGCGCAAGAAGAAGAGGGTGTCTTTTTCGGCGGATACGGTGATGCGGGACGGTGAGGAGAGCGAGAGTGAGAGCCGTCCCGAAGTTAAGAATGGGGACGCTGAAGCGGTTCAGGCTCCCCTTGCTACGGAGGAACAGGTTGACGCGGATGACGAGGGCGAGAAGAAAAAGAAGAAGAAGGAGAAGAAGAAAAAGAAGAAGGATCAGTCTGTCACGACTGCTTCGGATAGTACACCGACGTCTCACGAGTCTCCTGTCCTTTCCTATCTCAATCTGTACCACAACCACCGATCTGCTTGGAAATTCCAAAAGAACCGCGAGACGCATCTATTCAAACACATCATGTCTTTGGAACATGTTCCTGCGAAATACAACGCCGCACTTCTTTCTTACCTGAAGGGATTGAAAAGCGAGGGTGCCAAGCAACGGCTACAACAGGTTGCTGAGGAGGTCGTGAAAGCTGAAATGGAAGAGGATCTGGTGAAAGAGCAAGCAACGGAGACGGAGGACAAGACCGAGTCTGATATGACAGGCTACAACAAGGTCGTGGAGGCTTTTAGAACACGCTTGTCGCAAGGCGGGGACGATTTTGACGAGATTGAGATACCTGACTCGCTTGACGGAGAACGACTGGCGAAGCTTCAGAGACGGCAGCGAGCGGAGCTTGTGCTGTTTGCTGTCAGCGGAAAGTTGTTCTACCTCGAGAAAACAAAAGCGAAGCGGGGCCCGAGCACCCAGGCTCCGCCTGCTAGAAAGAAGAAGAAGAACCGGACCGCTTTCGTGGAAATCTCGAGCAGCAGTGAAAGCGAAAGTTCTAGTGACAGCGACAGCGAGAAGAAGCCCAAAAAGGCCGCAAAGCCGAAGAAAGACAGCTCTAGTGAAAGCTCATCGACCGATTCGAGCAGCGATAGTGATGACAACGGCAGCCACAAAGAGAAAGCTACAGGGAAGAAGGAAGCCAGCTCAAGTGAAAGTTCCAACGACTCGTCGACGGACTCTAGGAGTGACAGTGACAGTGACAGCAACTGAAAGGATAGGTTCAAGGGCTCTGACCCTCCTCATTCTCTGGATGTCTTCCGCGGCTCGGTCGATCAGCATATATAGACCAAGCGTCACATTTTACCCAGTATAAAACTTTACAATATGGAGGGACACTAGTATCTCATGTATAGCATTGCCGTGTGAATTGTGTATAGTCAAAAGCTGGTACTTGGCTGGGGTTGTACGGAGTTCTTGCAGGTTACGTGGTGATCTCTCAGAATGTGTATCTAAGGCTTAAGGTATTTCAAGCCTAGGAAACCTATAAGAGTGAAATATTTATCGGATCCAGTCAATCGAAACGTAAGCGTAAGCATATATCAACAGAGCACCGGGTCTACGTGAGCCTGTTGCTGTAGGATATGTAAAGGCGGTGACAGCGGAGCTTACTCAATCGGGCTCACAAGCTTGGAGCTTCGGCCAGGCACCTTCAAGCACGCGTACGTTGGAGATTCGCTGTCCTTCATCCTCCAATCCTCTTCCTTTCAATCCCAATCTCTACCTCTTTAGAGTCATATATCTCACTGTTTTCTGTTTTCTTTTCCTGAGGAATAATATCGCACACCGCAATCATGTCTGGTAAGCTCCTTGGCTTCTTCATCTGAGTTGACCTCCATGACTTCATCAGAGCTGACATTCTCTTCCGAACAGGGAGCGCTGGCTATGATAGACACATCACCATTTTCTCAGACCAAGGTCGTCTGTACCAAGTCGGTATGTACATTTTTCGAGAGCGCGCCAGTTTTTCTCCAGTTCGCGGTTCCGGCCCTCATCGTGCGCATTGCCGCAAACGCCATCAACTCTCGGCTGAACAACGCTGATCGTTGAAAATTAGAATATGCCTTCAAGGCCATTACAGCCGCAAATATCACCTCAATCGGTGTGAGAGGGAAGAACTGCGCAGTGGTATTGTCTCAGAAGAAAGTCGCTGTAGGTCGTTTCACCTCACTTGGCAGGGATACTGCGGCAATCTAATCGAATCATTAAAGGATAAACTGATTGACCCGTCGTCCGTTTCGCACGTTTTTCGGCTTTCTCCCTCCGTCGGTTGTGTCATGACTGGTTCTATTGCTGATGCCAGAGCTTCTGTCGACCGTGCTCGCGGAGAGGCGGCTGAATTCCGGTACAAATATGGCTACGAAATGCCTTGCGACGTCCTTGCAAAAAGACTTGCCAACATCAACCAAGTTTACACACAAAGGGTTGGTCTTTTTGTGGCTTCTTCAGTGATTGTCAAGTCGCAGGCTAACAAGAGCAATACCTTCAGGCTTACATGCGTCCGCTAGGCGTTGCCATGACTCTGATTTCCGTTGACGACGAGAAAGGCCCACAACTTTACAAATGCGATCCCGCAGGATACTATGTCGGGTACAAGGCCACTGCATCCGGTCCCAAGCAGCAGGAGGCGCTCAATTACTTGGAGAAGAAACTGAAGAACAAGGATTATGCTGAGGGTAGCTGGGAGGAGGTGGTCGAGCTCGGTATCACGGCCTTGAGCAACGTGTTGAGCGTCGACTTCAAGAAGCACGAGTTGGAGATTGGTATCGTTGGTGGTCCTCGAGCAGACGGCAAGGAGGGAACAGATTCTGCGTTCCGTGCCTTGACGGAAGACGAGATTGACGAGCGGCTACAGGCCATCAGCGAGAAGGATTGATTTGGTACAGGAGGATCCATGTTGCTAGATGCAGACGACATAACAATGCCACTCCTTTGAATGCTCTGTGCGCTGTCTCATTCATCCCTACTGCTGATATTCTTGGAGCGCCTTGTTCCATGCGAGTCCTTGATTTAGAAAGGTAGGTCACATCATCGTCCGCTGTCCTCCACATCGGTGGCAACTTCAACGCCTGGGGACAATGGCTGTGATATAAGTCCTTTGCTATATGACAGGCTCGAATCGAGGGCGCTATGGACTGCAGCATGCAGGAGCTGCGTTTCGACTGTACCGAACTCCTTCGGTAAGCGTTACAGTAACCAGGTGTAGTTGATGTAAAGCAGCGTCAGGGATGAACCTACGCAGACATCCTTGTCACTGTCCACTACGATCTATAGTTCGTTAAAGGGGATGTTACTCCTGCTTAATTCGCCACATGTGGATCGTGAGTTCAGGTCTCAGGGGGCCTCAGGCACTGAGGTACCACCTATCACTTTTCCACTTTCAGCTGCAGTTGCTTTTTTCGCGCTGCGGCGGACGTGTGGCTGAGCTGTGTGGTGTGGCTTGACGCTCATTGTTATGCCTGCCAAAACTGTATCCTCATCGTCAACCATCTTGTTAACAGCTGCTTTTACTTTTGTAAAGTTGTAGAAGAGTATATTCCCGATCGGCATGTGGCGGAGATATTTGCCTGTGCCATCCAGCTGGAATGTGTTCTGCACTTGTCTTGACTTTCGAATTGCGACTGACTCGATGACTTGTCATGCCAGTTTCGGACGAACCACAACACTAGCTCCCTAACCAACGTCTCCACCCTACTTAAGATGCATAGGTACTCCGTACACTATGGCCCTTTGTACCCTAACGTTATTCCGAGATCCAGCAGCGAGACACCATGGTGGATCAGCATTCCGCTGACTCGGTTGTGACACATGAGAAAACGGATGAATTGGCCACTAACCATTGACCATTCGATATCCATTACTCTGCGGAGTGGTTCTCTATCCCAATCTATCAATTGTTTACTTCTTTCCCTTTTTACCCTTGTCCAACGCTCTGCTGCATACTAAATCCGTTTTTTCCGAGCAGGAGCCTACCTTATCTCGCGCTTAGGTTCCAGCTTCTTTCCAGGTTTCCGGATACGACAATGGAAAGGTCTATGTGGATGCTCGGATGCATGGCTATTCATGGAGCCTTTGCTTGCTCCAGATCCACTGCTGTGGTCATCGCCCAGCTGTGCTGACGAGCTGTGATATTCTAAACTGCTCTTCCCTGCAGCCATTGGTGCAGCCAGCCACAGCTAAGGATCGTGTCTTTGTGTAGAGATTCTGTCCTTCCTGCGTCTCCAGCTATACGGTCCTGGGCTGGGATATCGAGCAATTGATCAATGGAGGATCAAGCTTAAAAGGAAAACCCGCCCTTGACCACGGGGCCAGACTTTGTAGATGAAACCATCTCGAGCACGAACGGGTTCGTTCTCTTGTCTGTTTGTCTTTACCTTTCTGCTCTTCTCTCTTGCAGTCTTGTCGTTGCTTCCTCCCCTCTCTGCTTTGTGTTCTCAAAGTGCTTCTCACACGGTAGCAATGGCTGATGGACGTAAGCAGTGTCAACACCCGGCAATGGACACTTTGAGGTAGTCCGCGCCCTACAAGATGCTAATGGGTAATCCATATCATAGTTAATCAAGCTCGAGCCTTGAGGGTCGCCGAGATCATCAACGACTACCGGACGCTTCTCATACACATTCCCCAACAGAATGTGCAAGCACCGCCAGAAGATGCTCATGAAGAAGGCTATGTTGTGCTGAGGGAGAGCATCGCTGCAGCACAGACTCTTATCTCGGCAAGCTACAATGCAAGAGCAGTACCTACTCAAGCGAGCAGTGAGGAGACGGAACGGGCAGAACTGCAGAGGTACATATCTTCCACCGCCGAGCGAAGAGCTGAGGAGACATATTCTTATCTGTCATGCCGTTAGGGTCATTCTCGACGCCAGCGCACGGCGCTTCCAAGCGCATAAGATCTACCTCCGGGCGGCGGCAGCCAGACGCTGGGCGATACATCGGCAAAATGTCCTTCGGGGTCAGAGACCAGGACCGCAACATGCGAGCCAACTGAAGGCTGTGAACGACACATTCCGCCTGGTAGGCTGCCTTCGCAGAGAAATTCACTCTAGAAAGTACAGGCTGACCTGCAGTCTTGCCAGGAACTTCAACAAATAACCGATGCACATGTTGTCGCTGATCTTCGGGCTGCGGATGTACGCGCAGGACACTGGCTGGATGACGACCCGTCTCTGAGCGCGATTCTGGCCTTGATCCGGTCACGATCGTAAACCCCGAGGCGACCTTGTCTCAAGATATAGTTTGACCGCTGGTGACATTCCGAATTCCCCCTCTGCTCCGAAGAATTAATACGGGAGGTGGCATGCTACATTTTCTCTTGACTAAAAAGCGCCGGTCGCTTATCCTTTGGAGAGACACAAAAGCAACCTGCGGGCATTCTTTGGTTTCTCTCTATTTTCCATTCTTCTATATGTTACTATAACTGATGATATCCCTTGAGTGGCCAATTTTCTGTGTATTTCGGGTTTAGATATGGTTGCAATTTGACCTTTTCTACGTCACCGTTTCTAGTGTCTCATTGCTGCAACTGATTCGCGTGGTGTCGTGTCCACCCCAGCAGACCCGGAGGTCTCTGATTGTACAAGGTATCTCAACGTGTCTTCGGTACTCTAAGCATGATGCCGGACGCCGGACGACTAGACTCCAACGTCGCACTAGCCACAAGAAAGCACCATGTCCATGTCACAGGATTGAGTGGAGTCAACTAAGGGTCAGACACATCCCAGCTGAGATACAGTGGGGCAGAAACCCAGCAGCCCACTATCCTCTTTCCGCCCCCCAAGTTGAATGGTTTTCGGTCCCTATTTTTTTTTGAGGTGCATAGACTACGGTAGCTGTCTAATTTACAAAGAATGCTCGAAACAATGTTATTTCCAGTCGACCCTTAAATTGACTACGATGATGATATAATGTGGCGGTGCGAAGGGTCCTGCAGTAGTGTCGAGTCAGTCAACACCAATCAGTGGGCTGACTCTGTGGGTTTCGGGCAGTGTTCAGCTGGTAAGGTCAGGTCCAAATGTGGTCCGCTCTCTGGTTACTTTTTTGAGGTTTGATGATTGATGTTTGAGAATTGCCGCGAAATCAAGGATAGGGGGACTGCCACGGTTCATCTCATCCATGTAGATGCAGAAATACTGCAGGTTGTGTGACAGATCGCACGAGGTCTGCTGTCGTGCCCTGGAATCTATGATCTATCTAGATTGGATTGTGGAATGTGGGATACTTACCTTGTCCTCGGCCACGTTGCATTGCCCTTTTTCTCTTTTCTGTCCAGTCGGAAAAGTCTCAAATTGTCGGATTTATTCGTAACCAATGAATCGGATTCAAGTGAGATGAAAAGAAGCAGACATACAAGAGGTTCTGCAATTGGTTTTCCAAATGTTTCACAGTCTTCATCACTGTGATCATGTAGAACCTCAGTCGCTCTTTGTCCCTCTACAGGTTGACCTCCTCATGTGATCTATATCTCGAGTCTTGCTTCATCTATCCACCTCCTCCTTGACTACTCCATCTGTAGATGCATCCTGAAGCCGCTCTTTCGGTGCTCGAATGTCCAGATTAAGTTGATCGGACACTATCCGGGATCGTCCCGTGGTTCACCAAGTGCAACTCATGTTCCCATGATAGAGCTTCCTCTGGTTTCAAGTGCATATCAGAAGCCCCTCGAGATGTGAAGACGAACTAGGACTGGATGACAGCAGGGCCAGCCGACACTCTTCGTGTTGCACAATTTCCCTGTCCCATGACGGATCGACAGAGCTAGCCCAAGTGGGGTATCTGTGAGGCTATTCCATTTCTCTCGGCCTTAATCTGATCTAGTTCTGTGGCGGGAAACTTGACAACATCTCAGTCAATGCTCTATTCTAGTTCAAGGAGAGAGATTCAGTTTATCAGGCAGCAAGAATTGTATCTGGAAAATCAAGATTCTTATCCTAAAACCTGTCTAGAGCCCATTTTACGGTGAGTAGGATTAGTACTTAAAGAGTGTCTTCTATCACTGTTCTTTCTTATCTCTTCATCTCTCTGAATCCTACTATTTACTCACTTTCCACACTAGGTTATTAAACTAGAGCTGGTGGCAGTCTCTTTTCCTCCTATCGATTCACGAAACACTGAAAGCTCTGATTTTCATTCACAACCTCGCGAGTAAGTGTCCCTCATTCACTGCTTTTCTCGCAACCTAACTCGCGAGATATCTGGCAACACCATGGTCTATAAATACCTCTTCTTCCCAGCTTCTTCTCTTTCTCTTCTTTTATAGCATCTGTACTTGTCCACTCCTTTGTGCTTCTACAGAGATCTACTCTGCTGGCAATACCTTCTCTCACTCCTTTAAATCAGCCTACCTTCCACTGGTGGAAGAATGGCGTCCAATCCTTTCAATTACTGTCTCCTTTGGCTCATAGCCTTCATTGGGCTTGCAGCTCCCCTCGCTCTTTCGGTTCCCAATGGAAATGACGCTGGTTGTCGTACTCAGTCTAATATCCTGGCAGATACTGAGAATTCTAGTGAGGTCAGCATGGAGGGCGGTTACAAGTCTATCGCATACTTTGTCGATTGGGTGAGTGTTCCCCTGGTTTTCTTTCAGACGAACCCAACAGGACCTAGCTGACAGCCAACTAGGCAATTTATCAACGCAACTACCACGTTTTCGACCTTCCCGCGGACAAATTGACTCATGTTCTCTACGCCTTCGCTGATGTCCGACCCGACTCGGGAGAAGTGTGAGTATTCATCGAAGCATACTCTTCCTTGTGGCAGCTCGACTAATCGTGGCGACAAGGTTTATGAGAGATCCATTCGCGGATGTCGACAAACACTACCCAGGTGATTCCTGGAATGAACCCGGAACCAACGTTTACGGCTGCATCAAACA